TGCTTCCTTGTGATTACACAAACACTGTATTTTTGGGAGAGTGAAAGTTCTAAGGGCAACTGTCAGAACCAGCACAGAGACTTGGTTTGGTCACCGGTCTATGTGCAAATTTACTTCTCTTGACTTTCCCCTTTCCCTGCTGCTGGAGCTAAAAATGGTTCGCAGTGTGCTGGAGTCCCAGAGCTTGTGGCCCCAGTTATGTGGGTATATTCTGTGAGAATTAATAGTGCCAGTGGAATTCAGAGTTGATAAATGCTACTATTATTTTACAATTATATATTAAATGTTACCTGTATTACCCTCTCAGGACAACACACTGCACTTCCAGGGAAGAAACACATAACATGACATGAAGAAAATGAGAACATATTTAAATAGAATGTCTCCAGGATAGTCTAGGGAGAAATTAAAACTGGAATTCAGCTGAAGTCTTTTGTAGGTGCATACACTAGTGAAGAATTAACAAAATGGGAGAGCTAAAGCGATATGCTTAGCTTGCAGTTTTTCCTCCAACTGGTAAAATCTGGTATATCATTTCTAATATAATGTCATTTGAATATTGTGCCTTGTTTTGGTTCGCTTTTAGTTTCTTTGAGAAAATAATTCCAAAGCTTCTTTTCTTTTCCTGATGTTGCTGGACAAGGTTTCTTTCAGCAATGTCTAACTGGTTAACTTATGAAAGAGTGCTGTGAAACACAGTGTGTAAATAAACAAAACCAGAAAGACTTTTTATGTGTTTGTTCCCCACTAACTTCTTTCTGTGATGATAATCTCAGTGATTATTTATAACTGTATGAAAACAGTGTCTATCTGCACGAATACCGAGAAGACACGCCTGATTTAGTTGTGCATATGAAGAAGGGAAACTACATAAAACATTTTTCATTCCTTTTGTTAATTCTTGATTGAAATCCATTGAGCATTGTTATTCTTTTGCTGGTAATGCACAGACAAAAGAGCGGACTGTCACCAAAAGCAATTCCTTAATTCATATTTCAGAGGATAAAACCGTAGAACATATTATCTTATTTTATGGATATGTATGTGCATAGTAAATGTGCATCAGTTATAATGGATAGCGATATAGTAAAGCTCTGGATCGAGTAAAGCGGAAAGAAATCCCTAGTGGCATTGTAATACACAGATTGTGGTTGCAGTTAGAGAAAACCTGTTTAATCTGTGAAATTAGCACTTGGTGTGTGTAGGCATGCAAAATACGGTCAGCACCGCCTTTTCTCAGGGAGGCAGGAAGCTGTGGTACTTAACTTGCTGTGGGACACATATGACGTGAAGGAACTAACCAGAACATAGCTGGCTTTGAGAGTTTGGAGCAAAGGCAGGGCGTTTTCTGTGCAAAGGATAAGGCTCATATTGGATTCTCAGTACTGGCAGCATAAAACTTTAATTTCCTTATAGAAGCAGAGCAGTTTGAAGTGATAGGTTTGACAGAGGAAGCTGAGTATTGGTTTTCTTTTTAATTTATTATTTATAATTTAAGAAGATGTTATTATTTATTTTATTTTACATTATCTTTTTAAAATAGTATTTATTATTTAAGATAATAGTGTAATGTTTGGAATACAGATTTACACAAGTACATATATATCCACTGTAGAAAAAAAGCTATGAAGAAAAGAAAATAGATTAGATTTTGATCAGTTCCATTTGACATTGCATGTGTAAGAAGTCTATTCTTGGGAGCCTAATTTGTACAGATGATCATAAAAATAATTTTGAGGAGGGAAAGAATGTATCCAAAGCAGTTTCTGGAAAATGTCATTAACAAGACTAAATACTACTCCTCCCTTAAATATAAAATCACAGTAAAGCACCCTGCAGAGAGTTTTGCTCTTTGTAGCCAAACCGTAACTGTTCATAGGCAACTGTCAGAGTCCAGGCGAGGAATATACTAATCTCTCCCTGCATGGGAGCAAGCCTTGTTGGGCACACACACAGCTTTGTATGATTCTTTAATTCATATGTGCATTTTCAGTGCAGTGCTTTGAAGAATAACAAATGTTGTGCCTATTCAGTACCTGCGGCAGCAGGTGCTTAATGAAAACTGTGTCATGAATTATACCTTAGAACTCAGTTTCCTGGTTTACTCCCTTCAACTCGAAGGACACAGCAAGGCTAATTGTGAATGGTTTTAATACATTTTAAGCTTTATCAAAACTTCTTTTTTCCTGGTGTTTTGGTGAATAATTACAGCAGCTACTATTAAGAGTAATTTATTCATGCTGTTTTATGTCTTGAGTAATGCAGAAATATGAAAGAAGTTGTATTTTGTTGTAGTGTTATTTAAGCCTTTTTCTTCAAGATAGCAAGCCCTATCAAAACTTTTTACTGAACAATACCTTGGGAAAGGTGAAATAGTATGCGACTAATAAAGCAAATACCACTGGCTGATGATGTGATAAAAAGCTGGTACTTACTTACCAAAATGGTAGGTACATCACTACTTGGAATTAGTAAGTTGTAAAGTTTTAAAAGCGGTGAAACACATATCAGTTTCTACGGTTGTGCTTTCATGGGTGTGCTTTCCTTCTTAATGAAAAGATATTTTGCCAATGACATTTACAGGCTTTTTCACTGTTGGATATGCTGCTGCTTGTGTCAGCAGTAGATTTTTGCACAGCTCACACAGGAAGAATGAGGAAACATATTTCTACATAATGTTCTGAAGAGACATAAAGTGAGAGAGAGTTCAGCCACTGAAAAAGGAAGGTATCATGTCCTGAATATAACTTAATCTGTACAGAATATGGTTAGAATTTTTCAGTGTAAATTTTGGTGCTAGGTTGTCTTTAAAGCAAGATTCGTGAAGGGCTTTTTTCCTAACAAGTTTACAGACCTGATGATAGAAAAGACCGTGATTATAGTGTGTCCTACTTAACAAGAGTGCTCCTAGTTTCCTGAAGCTAGAACTACCTTCTCAACAACTTTCTAACAGAGGAAGATGGTGTATTTTTGTTTCTGGTACTGGGATGCTGCAGTGGTATAACACCTCCCAGCTCCTGGGCTGCTCGGTGTTTGGTGTGATTCCCCCCTCCTGGGCCACATACCAACCCCAGATGGACTGCGAAAGGCAGCGGACCAGAGCGTTAAGGCACCCCCTTAACGTGCCTGATTCCTGCTTCCCCTGTCGCTTGGTTGATAATGACAGTCAGTCACCTCCTGACAGCCTAGTACATCTGTACCTGGGTCATGGCCCAAAGGGGGTGATACCAGACCTTCAGAATCTAGCAAGTCCTGGGCCTGTGCAGCTGGTAGAAGACACCAGAGTATTTCCTCATGCAAGTTGAGCTTAAATGGAAAATTACCTGACAAAAGTCAAATTATCTTGGACCCTATAAGTAGCGACCCTACATGAGACCCTTTGATCTCTCCTGGATCGCAGCAGGCTGTGACCAGCACCTCCCCTGAGCTGGGACACCTCTCAGGCTCAGAGTTCTTCAAGTTTGAAGATCATCTGCCCAAAAATCTGATGGAAGGCCAGGGTGAAGTCAGACTTCTCAATTATCACCTGTTGAGAAATACTGATATATTGTGAGTGTTTACTCCAAACTCGAGAAGAGGGAAATTTTCACTGTAGTCCAGCCTCTTCCATCCACCTCTTTACCTAAGTGCTTGACTATGCACATTCAGCTTTACGAGCATGGATGGTCATATATTTCACTGAATATCCAAATATTTCCCCGCTATTTGTGTGTGTGTGTGTATGTCTTGTGTTTTACATATAACATATATATATTTATACTTTGATTCAGAATACCTTATAGTAAGTTAGTGTGAATTTTGTCATTCTCAAATCTGTAATCAAGTTGCTATTTTAATCATAACATATTTTACTAAATCATTTTGTTAATCTTTAAATCAATCAACCATTAAGTGCTGCTAAAATTTAACCTTTGGTCTACCTCACACTATTAATAAATCTTAAATTGCTATTAAATCATAACAGTGTGAGATACCTTCATCCACGACAGATGCTTGGAGTAATTACAAACATAGCAAACATTATTATCCCCATGATTGGATTTTGCAGCTCAGTGATGTAATGTTAAATGCACTGAACAGCTCTGGTACAACCTTCCAACAGTCCTGAGGGGCAATTTGGGACTGTTCCTAGATAACAAAGCATAGTGTAAAAAGTAGATGATGGTTTTCCACCAGTTAGTTTCTTACATTCAATGCAATAGGATTTCTTTACTTCACATACTTTTGCTGGATCTTAAGGCAACTGAGAAAACAGTTGATGATGAAAACCAGAATAAGTTACATAATTGTTGAAGAGATAATCAGAATGCTGTATTCTTTTTATACAGCCTGACATTGTCATGCAGTGATGAAGATTCATTATTCCATTATCGACTCATATAGACTCTTTCTTGATTTTGATAAGAATAGTGATCAGGTTATTAATGTGTAAAATCAAGGCCACGGAGCTTAATTAGATTGATAGTTTGGGCTGCTGCATTGCATGCTCACAATATTCAGCTACAAAAGCTAAAGCTTTTTGCTTTTATGAAAAGTATTCCAATCACTATGAAGTTCATGAGCCATGCTATTCATAAAATACAAATGTGGCATTCTTTCATAAGGGCGAGTTTTGGAAATGGTCACAGTGAGAATCTGAGACTCAGAAGTAGAAAGTTTTCTAGTTTGTTTAAGCAGTGGTCATGTTTTGAACAGCATGCTGCTGAAAACAGACCTAACAAGAAAAAATTAACTGAGCTTCAGACTTACTCTTGGACATCAGTTGATAAATCTTATCAGTAAGAAGCTTTTGTAGATGAGACCTTATTTTAAACTTGCCTTCGCTTAGATCCATATTGTATCGAATCATTTGATACTGGCTTCTGGTGAGTTGGGATGTTGTCACTGAGAGCTCAGTGGGATTTTCAAGATATGTTAGTACTAAAATTTGACAGTGCTTGTGTTCCTTGAGACATGGAGAATGAAAGTAACTCTGAACAAAATTATTTTCTTTATTTCAGATTCACGATAACATGCAAACCAGAGTCTGCTTACCATTGTCTGTTCCAAGATATGATGTCAAAGCATACAAGGGAGAGTTAGAAGTAGGGTGACTCAAAAAGGAAGTATTTTGGTAAGTCACCTAATGTGCATTAAGCAGTTGAGAAAGTGATCTTTCACTTGAACAGATTTTTTTTCCTGCTCTTTTGTAGTTAAAGTATGCTTTTAAGAAGCATTGCTAAAACACAGTAGGCTGTTCACATTTTTGAAAGTGTTTATTCTTTCAGAAAACCAACAAATCAAAACCAGTGCCTTCCTGCAAGGTATGCTTAGTTAGAACATCCTGTCACAGCCTAAACTTCTGGAAAAATTCACAGCCCCTCAGCATTGCATTCTGGTTTTGGTCAACTAGAACACAGTGCTCTTCCTATCTGTACATCTTCCACATTCTTTCAGACTTACTTACATGTTTCAGTTAGAACATCTTTACTGTTAAGCCTATGTTCCCTCAGCATGTCAGAAGGAATATTCTTTTATTCAAACTTCATTGAATAACATCATCTGCTTGAGGAGTTTCTCATTGCCTTCCAAAATATGTATTGGTTACAGCAGAATTTAAATAAAACAAGTCCCAAAACACATACCTAATTCTTGTGTCTTCACTATCTAAATATGCTTTACAGGCTTTTAATCTCCTTCCTGAACTCTTAAAAGCTTAGTTTTTAATGTGGTAACCATATGGCTTGAATACTATTAGTTCCTAAATTTACTGATACTCTCATTCTAGCATGTACAGTTCTTTCATACCTCAAGGACTGTTTAGTTGTGCTAATATAGCTAACAATATAGCTTGACTTGATTAAAGCCTACTAATGTGTTTCAATGGAATTTGAGAGGTCACATAGTTTCCGTTCACACCAGTAGCAGTCAGTTCTGATCTGTATTTTTACATACTTACAGCAGTGTATATGACAGAGTATCTATGCAGGTGATTACAAGAAAAAGCTGTGTAGCTCTTCTGTGTCACTGGAAAGTAGGATACAAGTATATACCCTACGCAGGTCAGGCTGCATATGGACACACAGATATCACCTAAAGATAAATTGCATATACATCTACAAGACAATTTCTGAAGGGGAAATTATTTTATTTTGTCATGGGCTCCTGTTCCATTTTTATTAATGTCCCAAATTTGAGAATCCTAACTGAAACAAAATAAAGTTTCTTACTATAATGCATGGGCATGAGACAGAGAGCACCCTTTTTGAAGCAAAAAAAACAGTCTAAGAATAATTTGGATAAATTCTTCCATATTTTTCCACTTGTAGAACTCTTGTATCAACTCCCACTCCTTTTTTTCCCCAAAGTTTCTTGTAACCTGCTGTTTCAATAATTGTTGCACTTTATTAGTGTTCTTTATCCAAGCAGGGTCCAAGTAATAAGTAGAGACTAAAGACTTTCCCTTAGTCATTATGTCTTGCTGCTGATGTCTTTGTAAGTAAGGAACAGGTTATGTCTAGTGTTGTACCCCTGTTAAGGCATGGGAGTGTCTTCCTTCACTTTCTGGCCGCCTTGATGTTGTTGTAGTCACACTGTTCCGTAACCAATTCTAGTGGACATTGCATGGCCCTGGACTGGTGTTCACGTGCTGTTGCCACCTGTACATGCTTTATCTGTTTTAACGAGAGCCATGGAAGACATCTTGTGCACCTCAAAGCAATGCTTCTTTGCACTACAGTTTAAGGAACATATCTGACATCTACTGTAATCTGAGATACGACTAGAAGAGCAGAGACTAGCTAAAAGGAAGGATTCCCAAAATCTTGGTGTATTTCTCAAAGTACACACATGAGAAAAAGATATCTGAAAATGCATCCAAATGCATTTCACTCTTGCAAATGCAGAGCCTGGGACAGAATTGGAAACAGCTGTAACCCCTGCCTCAGTGAGGTACAGTACAGCTCTATTTCTCTAGGGATGCTGTCCCAGAAAAATAAATCGGGCAACTCCTGGTCTGAGGTACTAGTATTTTATTATCATGGTGTTCTACTGACACATGAGCATTTACATTACCAGTGCATCAAAAAAGGTCATAGTTCCTTAAATAAATAACATTGGTATTTTGTAAATGAGCAATTAAGTTATGAAAGAAGCCTCTTTTCGTATAGCTGCTGGCTTTGATCCTTCTTTGCATTATTTAACACTTCAGACTCCAGAGTGAATTCTTTTTGTCAGATACAGAGTGTAGCTTTGCTGTGGTATCCTCTCGTGTGACCTCCTTGAACAGGGACAGAGCATTCTGCAGGCTGATAGCAGTAGGTTCTGCACTCCCCTGTGGTGGAATTGCCTTGGTTGTCTTCTCAGCCTCTCTGTTCCCTGGCTCCTGTCCTTGCCCGCACCGTTCCTTCAGCACTGGTTTCCTCTGGTTCCTGGCACAGAAGTCTGTGGTCTCAGCGCAATATGTGCCCTCTGCAGTAGCTTTCTGTCTCAGTTGGCTTTTTCAAGGCTTCTAAAACATTTGCTTCCTTCCCTGCACCTCTTCATTCGTATCTCCAAGTCTGAACACTGCCTGCACAAAAATATTTAGCTTGACGTAGGTGCCGTTACATAAGTCACCACAGACAGGATGGTGGTAAGCCTAACCTCTGAAGTTGTAAAAGATGATCAACAAGTGGTAATGTCCCGTTATATTGCAGTTTATCAGAAGGGATTCCAGGAGGGAAAAAGCTAAAAAGTAATTGCTGTGAAATTCAGAATTACATTCATTTTTTAAAAAAACATGAGTTAGTGTTTACTGTAAAGTTCTTTTTTGACTACAGACTGAACAAGGAAGGAAATAAAACATTTGAGTTCTCTCCGTAAGGCAGCTACTTTCTCTGTGCCTTTTTCTTTCCTCTGTTTAATTCCCAATACCCTAGAGACACAGTTTCCTCCCTTAGCCGGGACTGTGACCTTAAAAATAGCTGGCTCCAAAATAAACACAGAAGAAAACCACTTCAATTGTTTCAAATACGTGATAAGTAACCAAAACTGCATCCATGCTAAAGCTGAAATTCATAATCTTTTGGAGCTGCAACTAGAACTTCTGTTTTTCTGAGAGTTAACATTCATTATTTTGTGTTCATGCTGCATGCCTGCCTCCCTCTGCAAAGAAATTTGTTAAAACGTCGGGTGCCATTTGAAAGTAACTTGTTACTACTTTTACCACTTTTGCAAACTTTTTAAGAGAGGACGCTTTCACTTTGGATGAGGGCCAGGTGGGCCACCAAGCACCTAAGGAAGTGGTGATCCCAGGCCGTTTTCATTACTTTCTCCTGATGGGCTCATTTTCAGCTGGTAGGCATCGCAGCTGCTTGGGGCCAGCTGTGATGATTTATCGATGTTTTATTGAACAGCAAGCTTGTTCTGTCACTTTTGCTTCTAGTTTTCAGACCAGATTCTCTGATTCAGCTGCATGAAGGAGGACGTGGTCCAGCCTGGACCTCCCCTCTACATTGAGGCCATGGTATAACATAGGCTGTCTCGTTGCCACTGCTGCCTTCACGTCTGTCTGCAGCTGGGCCAGAGTTCACAGTTTCTACAAAAGCTTTTTCCAGGAAAAGGACTTGCCATCAGATTTAATGTGGGCAGGGAACCAAGCCCCAACCTATGACAATAACGAAAGGCTTGTGTCCATATGTTACAGCAGTTGTTAACAGCTGTACTCCATGTTTCATTGAGGAGCCCCTGGTCATATATAACCAGTAAGGACAGGACAGGAGAAGGGACATTCAAGTCTGCAAATTAAATCCCCTCTGACAAGCAAGTATTGCAGAGGAGTATTTTCAGTCTGGCCAATGGCCTTGCGTGGAAAAGTTAGTCAGGTCTTACAAATACCTCTCACTGAGCAGAAATGTCTTCTGACCTTGCTTAGGAAGGTTTAAAACTCATACAGATTCAGAAGTGCCAGTCCATTGGGTCTTCAAACACATTTCAAACCCTTCTCCCATAAAAAGATACCAAGTAGTGCCTGCACAGATTCTCACAAAACAGGGGTATTCCCTCTGCTTTTCAAGAGCTGAGTTCATGTTGCAGGGGGGAATTTTCTAGATCTTCTCACATGAATGTGCCAGCTATATCTGTGTGGTGTAGCAGATACTTAGATGAGTATTTTCCTCTGAATATAGTCCAAAATCCATCATGTATGTAGAAATATATGTGTTACAGTGTTTTGAAATCTCAGAATAGGGCTATGAAACTTTTTTGATTAATGCAGACAGCTTGGTCTTTAGGTGTAGGGGAAAGAGCAACAGCTAGAAAATGAGCAGGGGGAAATAGCAAAAGAACATTTTGTGTACTTTTCCATCTAAGATGTAGCAGGGTTTGGGGAGGTTTTTTTAATCCATCGTGTTAGCCTAATCCACAGGGAGTTCATTCTGAAATTAAATATACCAAAGCATTTATGATTTACAAAGAGGGAAAAAATAAAAGCCTTAAAAAATATCTTGTGTTTGATCTATTTGTCGCTATGAAAATATTGACAAAAGGCAAAAGAATAGCTTTCATTTAGCTTATTATTGTTGGCTTGCTTTAATGCTTTCTTATTAAGGGCAAACTCCCATTAAGATGTGAGATTAACTCTTTCACAGTTGCGAAGGAATAAAAGATGGAAACTTTGAACCTAAAACTCCTGTAAACAATCATTCTAAACTAGGTAATCTGTGATTCCTATTCAGAAATACGTGATGTGGCAGAGGGTAGCTTTTAAAAGTAAAAAAAGTATATGGAATAGTTTGTGCAGAATTTATGCTTCAACATATCCTTGAAAAGCAGCCTCCCATGTAAAATCAGAAACATGGTGTTAATTACACAGTTCTAAAAGTATTTCAGAAAATAAATACTTTATGGGGGAAAGAAAACATAAAAATCTTATAAACTCTGAGTGTGCATGTGTAAAATAAGGATCTGTCTTCACTGAAGTGTTAACTACAGACCCAACTCAAGTGTTACTGGGACCTTAACTTCATTCACCCACAAAGACCTCTAGTTTTGTGGAGTAGTGCTTTTTTACTTGAGTCAGCTAGTCCTTTGGGAGCCTGTTTTGAAGAACAAGTGCTACCGATGTTTAAATTGGTAATAAAATAGAGAAGTGGC